GACTGAACCAGGACTCAGTGTCGGGACGGGTCCAGAGGTGCACTCGCGTACACTGTCGGGTGATCATTACTGAGCCCAGGATCAGATCAGGACTGAGACCGGGACCAGACCAGGACTGAGACTGGGACCAGACCAGGACTGAGACTGGGACCAGACCAGGACTGAGGCTGGAACAAGACCTTGACCAGCATCAGGACTGAGACCAGGCCAGACCGAGACCAGACCAGGACTGAGACCGAGACCAGACAGGGCCTGAGAACCAGACTGAGACTGGGACTGAAACCGGAACCAGAACAGAACTGAGACTAGGACTGAGACCAGAACTGAGACTGGGACCAGACCACGACTGAGACCGGGACCAGACCCAGACCAGACCAGGATTGAAACTGAGACTGGGACCAGACCAGGAACAGGACCAGGACTGAGAACGGGACCAGACCACGATTAAGACTGGGACCAGGACCAGGACTGAGATCAGGACCAGGACTGAGATCAGGACCAGACCAGGATCAGACCAGGACTGAGACCAAGATCGGGATCAGACCGGGACAAGATCAGGACTGTGACCGCTTTAGTACTGGTTTAGTCCTGGTTTAGACCCGGTTCAGTCCATATGCGACACAAAAGTCCGGCATCGCAGTTTAACTCACAGAAACGGGAAACGGCAGTTATTGAAAACTGAAAAAAACAAATCATTATCCATTTTTAAATTTTTGGAGACAAATAATGTCGAAAATAGCAGTTTTTTCATTTTCTTATTCTTGGTTTTATTTTGAAAAACAAATGAACAAATGATACACTGATTCCAGCTTACCTTGTAACATACTCAAAAACGCATGTTCATATTTCATGTTCATGTCTTTACTCAAACATTAACGCTCACGGTGTTTAAAACGTGCACTGTGAGCTGAACCGCCGCGTATAAATATATAACTTACACTTCAATTCTCTATACGTGTCAAAAAAACTGAAAGCACTGAAGCCATATTGTGTTGTATATAAGATGTGTGGACTTTCGCCGTGGTTGATGGAGGGGCCACGGCGCACGGAGCAGCATGAGAATGGCCCAGTCGATATTACGAGTGAGTGAGGAGAATCGTGAACGTCAAAAAAGTGCGGCGAAGATCTATCAGGGTGAAAAATACAACGGAGAGAGAGACGAAAACAAATAAATACACCGAGCTGTCTGCGGAGGTCTGCGGAGGAGAGGGGGATGCGGGGAGAGGGGAGGAGAGGGGAGAGGTGAGTGGAAGTGTACAAATAGTGGTATGTGGAGTCTGAGTTAGGGCTCTGTGATTTTGGCAGAGGCGGTGGAAGAGCCAAAAATTGGACTCGAGTAAGAGTAATGGTACTGTAAAATAATATTACGCAAGTACAAGTACAAAGTAGAGGTCCAAGAAATGACTCGAGCAAGATTAAAAGTATTTAGGGAAACTACAAATCACGTAAGAGTAGCTTATCTGATTTATAATTTGAAGTTAAGGTAATTTGAAGGACAAAACGAAATGAAATTTAAATAATACACAAAATCTGGTGTTTTCAAAGACACAAAAATGAGACAAACTAAATCATATCTGAAGGAGCTCTGCAAGAAACACAAACGTTCAAATAATTTTATATTATCAACATGCATTTATTACCGTAAATTCCAGACTATTGAGTGCACCTGAATATAAGATGCATCAACTGAGTTTTAACAAAATTTTAAAATTGTACATATTTAGACCTGAATATAAACCGCAGGTGTCCACGTCTTCAAGAACATTTTCAAGTTCGAGCCGTCTGCTCTTATCGCCTCAAAGCTTTTGTCGTCTTTTTGCGCTGAGTCAGTTCGTCACGCTGCCGTCGCCAACGCCTCACCACCAACTCACTGATGCCGAGCTCTCGTGCAGCAGCTCGATTTCCTTCTTCTACAGTCACATCTAGTGCCGTTAACTTAAAAGCTGCATCAGTTGCATTTCTTCATTCATTTAAACACATTGTGAAAAAATTTTGACTGAAATCTATTGTTCAAGGGTGATGTGGACTAAAATAAATGTAAAACTTGTCACATGTAGACTTAAAAACTTTTACTACAAGTAAGAGTACTGTTACTTCAGTAAAAATATTACTCAAGTAGGTGTAAAAGATCGCTGATAGAAAAGTACAGTGTCTTCAAAAAGTTATTCAAGTAAATGTAACTGAGTAAATTTAACTGCTATTGTGATTAAATGTGCAATATAATGTTTAAAAGTAGAATTATTTATGGTCAGATTGTGTTAAAACAAAACTCAGATTAAAGTCTAACTTGAGTAACAGAGCTTCAGACAAAGCAGTGCCTCTAGTTAGCTTCACCCCTCAAGGAAAGTCAATGACATTCAAGTCATGACAAGTAGTAAAACTATTATAATAAAAAAGCATGTAAATGCACTTATATTACCAGTGACAAAACAAAACACACCGCAGATCTTCACACCATTGTCTCATTCTTTCAGCGTTAAAATGTCATAGACTATGTTCAGACTGCAGGGCTTAATGTTCAATTCAGATTTTTTTGTGAAATCGGATTTTTTTGAGAGGTCATTCACATTTTCAATCAAATGCGACTTGTATGTGATCTCCAGTGTGAACTTTAAACGCCCCAAAAGTGTCCCGCATGTGCACTGGAGGACACGACGACGTCAAACACAGCGAGAGTGCTCTGTGTTTACAGAAGGAGTTTAAACATGGATGCCCGCTTTGAGCACCTGGAGATTTTAAATTTGCTGTCATACTGGAGCTTGTTTGTTTTAAGGAAGAGATTGAGAAGGAAATGGATGAGATTTTGTGTGTGATGAGTCGCAGGCAAGAGTGGTGGGATTGCCCTGTGTTTCGCTGCTTCACTCACACGGAGTTCATGCGCAATTTTTGTATGACGAGAAGAACGTTTGTGTACATTTGTGACGTGTAGGTCAGATAAATGTGAGCTGGCTGTTCAGACTGAAGTATCGGTTACTTCAGTTTTAAAACCACATATCCAAGTGGCCTGGGTCACATTTGAGAAAATCTGATCTGTGTCATTCAGACTGTCAATAAAAGATCAGATACAGGTCGTGTAGGGGGGGGGGAAATCAGATTTGAGTCACTTCAGGCTGCAGTCTGAACGTAGCCTATGAGTCCATGTCCTATTGGCACTAGCTGTACTGTTGCTGTTATAAAACTTTCAAATTTTAAAGTACAAAGCAAATTTATGATTAATGATAAGTTATGCTGAAGTTTCCAAATGAACTTATCACTTTTGTAAAACTAATTACAAAGTGGAATTAATATGATTAACTGAGATTCAAGAGCTGGACCACGCCTCAACCTCCACTCCAGCCAACCGCAGTTTATCTCAACCACGCCTTCAATTACCCAGAAGCCCTATTTATACAGCCTATCCTGACAACACCGTCTGCGTCAGCGCTCTCGAATCCAGGTCTTTTGCCCATCCTTCAGTCCAAAGACGTTATCTTCAAGGAGGTGGGGTGACAATTTTGGATTGGAGATTATACCCCCACCCTGAATCTTGATCACATCTATCCACCGTCAATAATCAGGGTATCTCCAGGTTTGACTAACCCAAATTAAAGAGTTTTTAAAGACCTTTTTAAGACCACTTAAAGGCTGTATAGAGGATTTTTTTAAGGGAAGAGAAATACAGCGACAATCCTTGTGCGCGTTCAGAATTACTGTTGAAGTGACTTGTTTAGAAGTAATTCAGCGACCGACGCATCAGTTTTTAGACCCTTCGTCTGCTTCGGTCGCGCCATCGCTAGACGAGATCTCCAAGAATCACCTCAGTTTGGCTTTGCTCCTTTTCCCCTTCTCTTCTTCTTTCAGCGACCTCAAAAACTGACTTTCTTTTGCGGCGAACCGGTCGTGGATTCTCGTCCGCCGTCGCGACAAACTTTGTGCGAAATGCGAGGAAGCGACAGTTCAAAAAAGCCTCTAAGAACCGCTGCGTAAACCACGTAATCCCCCGCGCTCCGACGAGTCAGTTATACCAGGGAGTTTGATTGACAACCCAACAGCCAATAGAAAATGAGGGAGCCTCGTTTTCTATTGGCTGATGTTTATCTGGCCTCAACACGTCCACAGTTTATAGATTTTCGTTCTTTTTTTTTTTTGGTCATCATAATTACAAAGCTGCTGCGTCTCTGTAATGGCATTTTAATCTTTCACTGACAGTTTGAAACTAAAAAAAATCCTCCATACAACCTTTAAATGAAAATTAAGACCAACATCGCACCCATTATGCGAGCGAAAAACACCAGATCCAATTCTAATAGTGACCAACCAAATCCGTACTAGATCTAGAATTTAAGAGCCACTGTGGATTAAACCTACACTTCCCCATGATCCATCCAAAGGTTTCCTCCACTCTACTGATTGTTTTCACGTTGTTGTTGTTTTTTCCTCTCTCCATTTAACATTGCACTGCAGCTCGGTTGAGTATACAAAAAATAGGCCAATGAAATTTAAGACCTTTGTGAAAAAAATACGACTTGGACAACATAATTTAAGACTTTTTAAGGCCTTAATTTAGGAACATGAACTTTTTAAGACTTTTATGACCCCGTGGCGACCCTGATAAATATCGTTAAATATCGTATTCCATTGTTGTGGCTTGGTGCTTGCTAGTGAAACGTGTTTATCTGATATTACACTGATATTGCTGATAATCGAAGACTAGAGCAGCTTTTTCAGTGACAATATTGATACTTTGAAGTCTCTGCTGATACCTGATATTATCCGATACCAGTGTAGAGTCCACAAGAGATCAAGTTGTCCTATGTTCCTGCTATTTATCCTCAAAATAACTACAACAGTGTAAATAAAGGCTCAACCATCTTTACTGACATCATGAAACCGATAAGCGATCCAGCAAAATCTTCAGTATCAGCGGTGTTTTTCAAAATCAGAATCATATCAGCGCATTTCTACCGAAGACCGATAAACCATCTCTACTAGAAACACAATTTAGTAGCCAGATTTCCTACCTGTCTTTCCCGGTCTCCTTCTTGAAGACCATATCGCAGTAGTTCATCCTGTCTTCAGTGGTCACGTAGATCTGTGCGTGTGGATAATTCTCCGCCGCGCGCTTCAGCATGTTATACACGATCCCGTTCCCGTCCTTCCTCATGTTCCGGAGCGGGCCCCACACCACGTACACCGTGTCGTTGGACTGTCCGAAGAAGTACTGAGGCTTCTGCAGGATCAGGGGCACGCTGGTATGGGACACGACTCGTAACGTGGTCCTGTGCCCCACGTCGTTCTCGAATCCGTGGGTGGGGGCGCTGTTCATCCTCCAGATGCAGGGCGAGCGGTCGATCTGAGCGCCCAGACCCTGACCCAGCATTTGGCCCGAGCTGGAGACCACGCTGCAGAGCTCACAGTGGAGCTTCAGAGGCTGCAACGAGAAACAAGAAACAAGGGAGTTAGAGGAAAAATAATACCAATACCTAAAATTTCAAATGCTTTCGACACTAAGGAATAGACTCGATACTTTTTATTTGGACAATTGAATGTGATTTTCAGCATTAAATCATAGTACTTTCTTTTATAATAATCCCTCAGTGGTCCAGGTAGGTTCCTTAGTGGTCCATTGGCGTATACTAGTCTTTGTGCTCTTAAACTTGTTGTGCGATTCAGGAAAGGTTCGTTTCCGACCTGTGAATGTGACTTTTTTAGTATCGATACCTGCTCAAATGAGCATCTAGGTTCGGTACTAGTTTTAGTATTGGTTTTGATACTTTTGACAACCCTACTATAAATAAAGTTACGTTCAGACTGCAGCCTGACGTGACCCAAATCCGATTTTTTGGCCCCTATGCGACCTGTATCTGAACGACACAGATCCGATTTTTTTTCAAATGCGACCCAGGCCACTTGGATATGTGCTCCTAAAACTGATACATATCTGATCTTTTGACTAGTGCTGTCAAGCGATTAAAAAAATGATCTGTAATTAATTAATCTAATTAATTTATTTATTTTTTCTCACCTAAAAATTGCTGAGAAAAGCCTTCAACTTGAGGTATTTTCCTTTGAATTCATTATTTATTATATTATTTTCATACTATCATTAACGTTTTTATATAAGTATCATCACTATTATTACTATTACTAATTTGCATAAATAAACTCAACTTTACAACATATCAACCATCACCACTCTAGAGCCACATCAGCCCATTTGACATTGTAATGTGTTTAATGCAGCTCTGCGCAAGTCTCACAGAAAAGAAACTTAAAACTGCATGGCTCATTTGCATAAACTAAGCAGTTGTGTGCTGATGTGTTTCAGCTTCTACTAAAGGACATGGCTCAGTGGAATATAGATGTTCTTTCTGTGACAGAGAGAAGGGGAATGAAAATTAGGCTACAATTCTTTGCGGGAGCGAGCGGAGCAGGACTGCACAGTGCGGGACTGTGTCCTAACAACACATAAAAACAGATTTTATAATAAGGCAACTCGCATACAGAAACAGTAAAGTTAAAGATTAAAAATAAGTTTAACGCGATTAAAAAACATAATATGCTAAATATGACTGTAATTAATTAATCGCAATTAACGTGATAATTTGACACCCCTACTTTTGACATGTGACTTCAGTCTGAACGGCCAGGTCACATTCATCCCACCTACACGTCATAATAACACGATAACAAGCTCCTCTTGTTGAGAGCCAATACAGCCCAATGCCAATGCATTTGCTCACTGAAATGGGCCCACGAAGACGTGTTTCCCCCCGTGAGATTGGTACAAGTAGGCGCTCACAAATGTACACAAACGTTCTTCTCGTTATATGAAACTTGTGCCTGAACTCTGTGTCAGTGAAGCGGTGAAGCACATAACAATCCCCTCACACTGAGTCTAGTCAGTGGAGGGAAAACGAGGTTCGCAAGTTTATTCATATTTGGGAGGATCGCTGTATTCAGGCCAAATTCGAGGGGTCTGTTTTTGAAATGATTGCCAAAGAGTCAGAGTAGTCAGAGTGTGACTACAGGTGGTCATGGCTCCAGTGTCAACAAAAAATAAAGAGCCTCCGAGACAAATACAAGGAGACTATTGGATGTGTAACCTGTCCATTTTATGAAGAACTGGACCGTATTTTGGGAGACAAGCCCAGCGTTTAGGTGACTTCCATAAACACTGAGCACGCTCGCTGTGTGTGACGTCGTCGTGTCCTACATTGTACATGCAGGACACGTTTGGGGCGTTTAAAGTTCACACCGGAGATCACATACAAGTCACATTTAACTGGAAATGTGAATGACCTCGCAAAAAAAATCTGATTTCTCAAAAAAATCTGAATTGAGCATTAAGCCCTGCAGTCTGAACGTAGCCTAATACTCTGTGTCCCCTTCAATCTCTTCCCTTTTTAAGAACTGCTGATGGAAATGAGCTTCCTGAGCAAGAATCTGATACTTGCATTCATTATGTCACTGTACGTTGTCCTGATGAATGATTATAAAAAATGAAAGATCCAAATTCACAATATTCAACCTGATCATTTCTACTAGTGTATAGAACCAAGATCTTATAGTATTACATTAAAAATCTGACTTTTAAGAGTATTAAGTAGTTTAGCTGCCCCCATCTGTATTAAATATGGCCTTGAGAATGTGTGTGTATGTAGCAAAGAAAAACAGTGAAAGAACTCAATCAAATCCTCCACCATTATCCACCATTTGCTTTGTTGCCACCCTTGGCCTCTCTCAGCGATCTTCATGAAGAGATCTTTGAAATGGTTTTCATTTCACAGCTGTGCCTTGTCACTCTCTGACTGGTAGAGTACATGCTTTTATGATTTCATGTGTCACTTAAATAATGCCTGTTTAAAAATCCCACTTTAAAAATAAGGAATCCATTTCTATGTTAGATGTGTGTTTGAGTTCCCACTGCTGACACTGACAGGCATGAAGCAGGATTTCAAAAGCTTTCAGAAGCCATTTACAGAGCATCATGCAAATATATTCACTTCACAAAACAAGTCTGGTTATGGTTTACAGTTTACATTCAAATAGTTTAATAGTACGTCATGTTCAGCGGGTGGAAACTGAAGGTCACCTGCATCTTATGGAAATAGAAAACTGAAAGCATATTTTGAAACATTCTCAATGGAAATAAATAAGACTTTATAACATAATGTGGAAGATTATAGCCAAAGGAACGGCATTTCCATGGAAACAAGCAAGAAGGGGCGCTCCAGGACAGAGAAGAGTCAGGCTTGTGGAGTTGCAAGCTTGCTCACCTTAGGGATCTAGCCAGGCTGGTGCCGCCTAGTGCCTCATTTCTCCCCAGCGACTAGATCAGGAATCAGAATACTCTAGACCAAGGGTGTCCAAACTTTTTTCATCAAGGGCCACATATCTAAACACAGATGAGGCAGAGGGCCGATCGAGGGCAGTAGACTGATGCACAATACAGTGAATAATTGAAATATGTGCATGTTTAACACGTTAGAATGAGCCGTTAGTCTTTATTCATGCTAAGATCCTCAAAATCACACACTAAATATTCAATATTAGCTTTATCAAGGCAGATTTTCCAAAAAACTTGCAGTAAAAAAATATTTCTTAAATTGATGCAAGGTAATTTGGGCCAATTCACCTGGAAGTCTGAGGGCCAAGAAAAATTTGTCTGAGGGCCGCATTTGGCCCCCAGCCCATAGTTTGGACATGCCTGCACTAAACGGTTTGCAAGAAACCCAGAAGTGCGAGTTCCAGCACCAACCAATCAATGAATTTCTGTGCTGTCAACGATTCCTGAGATCGAGGATTTAAAGCTGAAACAAAGAGAATGTTTGGATAATTTTATCAAGGAGAAAGACGTTATTGCCCTTCTTCCTGCGGGATTTGGGAAAAGCTTAATATACCAGTTAGCCCTGTTAGTGGCACATTACATACGTCATGACCAAATAGCAGCGATTGGTTAAATGAAAAAAGTACCCGCCTACCGTCGAGCAAACAAATCCTAATGCTGCGAGGTTCTACGAAGTGAAACCAGCTGATGAATCAGGCTAAGTAGGGGTCCATGCTTTTATTTTAGTCTATAAGTCAAAAAGGTTACATACTGGATTTTTAATCTGATTAACAGCACAACAGCATATTTTAAAATACAAACCAAATGCAGCAATAGAATCTTAAAGGTAATAAGACTCATTTTTTCTTCTGAAAGAGAACATTTAAAGTCCCCAGTCCCATTGGGTGGAGTGTATTTTGAGCTGTTTCTCAGATGTTTGGAGGTCAGATAAAAACAGTGTCCCGCAGTCCCCCTCAGTCTGCTCCAGATCACATGTCCCCCTGTATCACATCTGCGCTCACACAGCACAGGGGAATAACTGTGTGTGTCATGTGCTAATTACTAAACATGAATATAAACTGCCATATATCTTCAGGTGTGATAAATCTATAAAGTCTTACTTCCATTATTATATAAGAATATGCAGTGGAGTCAGTCACACTGTGCAGAACGCCAACGCAAACAGCTCGTGTGACATTTCAAATGTACACTGTCAACTGAATCGAGATGTTGCAGAAGACATATTGTACTGAATCCTAAACATATCAGCGTTAAGGGAAAAAAAACAAAAAAAACAATTGGAGAACAAAGCAGAGTGTGTACCAGTGGAGGGTAGATCGGAACAATACAACTGCACAACAACTCACCCTTATGTAACAGATAACCCTATGTCCTCCCAATCATCTTATTATTGTAGCACTGTCTTCTGCTGTGATTTAAAATTGTATTACTTATCGTTCAATTTTATTTTTTACTGTATATTTGACATTTATATAATTATGTCTTTTTTGACACCAGTCTCTTGCTATCTTTCTTGCTACTTATTTAGAATTTATTAATACCATTTATATTTTCCCTCTTGGTTATTATATTTATTGTGATGTATGAGCTACTGTGCCCAAATAATTTCCCTTGTGGATCAATAAAGTTTGTCTAAGTCTAAGAATACAGGAGAATACAGATTACTCAAACATGCATGAATCACTGTAAATACAATAGGCTCTGAGCCCAGCAGCACAGAAGCGAGCTCACTGTGTCCCAAAGCCAACAGTGACTTTTATTAAAATCGTAAAACATGAAATAAACAACCTATTAAAATTCAAATGAATTAAAATAAACACAACCTGATTATCTCTAAATGTAGAATACTTCAGTTTGTGGAGTTGTTGTGTTGTTCGGCCTAAAAGGCGCACTGTGTAACTTTTCTGCTGGAGGGTCCACCTGCTTGTCTCCATGGAGATGTTATTGTTTTGCCTGGAAGTTCTCGGTATGGCATTAAACGCACTCATCTTTCATTTACTTAATAACATGAGTTTTTATTGACCTAAAAAAGTGAATTCTTAATAGAGGTGTAACGATATCCAAGTCTCACGATACGACAT